GACTCTATGCTGGTTACCAAATAAACAGTAGTCATAAGGTTTTACCGTTGTACCTTTGGCATAAGAAATGAGTGATTTCTTGGAAAGAATTTGCAATCCCTTCTCGCTCATATGACCCATTCTTTTGTGCCACAAATCTGTAGAAATCTTATCTTGTGCCGCATTAAATTCACCTTGGCATATTTCTGCATTTGTCCTGTATAACGTGCCACGAGCAACTCCCTTTGCAATCACCAATGATCCATTGGCAAGTCTCCACTTTTGATATGCAAAATAATTCTCGTATCCATCTCGGTCTAAAGCAATTTCCGAGATCAAGTTCATCCGCAAATCAGGTACATGTCGCACGTCCTTCAGAACCAATGTGCATCCGACATTTGTCTTGATACAAATGTCACCAATTCCCACAATCTTTGAGTAACTTGTCTTACCCATTCTCACAAGGCCGAAATTACCTGCTACATATTTGCAAAAAAGATCTCTTACCGATGTGGCATGGTAAGATGTTGATGTATCAATCACCCATTCCGACTCTGGACCTGATAAGTGCATGCATTCATCTTCCTCGTTTATAAAGATACAACATTATCATTGTTTTGCATCATGGCGGTTGTGTTGTCGTCATTCTTCTGGCCACTAGTTTCACCTTTGCCCTTCCTTGAATTTGGGCAATCTCTTTTGAAGTGACCTGGTTGATCACAATTATAGCAATTTCTAGCTCTTGATTTGGATCGGTTCTTAGACTTCCCAATAGCTCCGGATCTACCATAGTTGCTCGAACTCCTTTGATAACTCCCGCCTCTACCTTTTGTGATGAGAGCATGTCCTTGATTTTCAGGCTTCTTTCTCATCTTCTCATTGAGTAAAGAGCCTACATGACGTCTTTCAACTCAATGGTAGTCTTACCGTGCAGGATAGTTGTTGCCAAATTATCGTACGAAGATGGCAACGAGTTCAATAGTAAGATGGCTTTATCTTCGTCCTTGATTTTCACTCCGAGATTAGCGAGCTGTGTGATTAGTCCGTTAAACATATTTAAATGTGAAACAAAAATTTGTACCTTCACCCGTGTGTTGGGCGTATAGCTGCTTCTTCAGGTACAATTTATTTGTTAGTATTTTGGACATGTATAGGCTTTCCAACCTTATCCAAATGCCACGTGCGGTGTCTTCATCAATGATGTTATTTACCACATCATCTGATAAGTGCAACCTGATTGTACTAGCAGCCCTTTCATCTAAGTCAGCCCAATCCTCAACTTTCATGGTATCAGGCTTTTTGGCATCACCATTTAGTACCTTGTGTAATCCTTGTTGGATGAACAGATCCCTCATCCTTCTTTGCCATGTTGAGAAACCGTTATCTCTGTTGAATTTTGCTACCTCGTACTTTACTCCGGAATTTTTTTTTCCACCGAGTATAGTACGACCGACAGTGAATAGTACTTCTGTGAGCCGAGCAGAACCTGTGCTATGATACCGGTTGTTGGGAATAAATCCCCTACAGAAATAATATTCACAGTAATAAAAGCGAAATAATAACGTAGCACCGAGATATGATAATTAACAAGAATAAAAGAGTGATTACGACACAAAGATTTTACGTGAAAAATCCTTTTGAATAAGGAAAACAATCACGGCCCCGAGACGAGCAACTGATATCACTATAACAAGAAATTTTATACTTTGTAGGTCCGAGTAAAATACTCCAAAGACCACTTCAACACTCAAAAGAAATAACTCTTTTTTGATATTCCCACCTCACTATAATATCGCTCACTCTTTATTTTTCTCACAGACTATTTTCTTATACCTTGTCTGTGAAACCTCACTCTTTCTTTCTCTCTTTGTTAGTGTATAGAAATGAGAGCTGAAGCTCTCCTTTTATAGCCGAAGTCTCACTCTCTAAAACCTACTATATTTGATAATTTGCACACACTTTTCCTTCTTTTTCTTCAATGTTGACAATTTAACAAATTTTCTTTAGGCACATGCCTATTACTTTAGCTTTTGAATGAGATAGACCCATCATTTTCCTCCCAATACATATTATCCCCTTTTTTGTTCTTGGCACAAAGTTTTGACTCTTTTTTGTATTTTTAGGATTGTTTGCATTTTTGGTCTTTCACAAGAAATGCACGTGTGATACATATCCTTTTTGAGTTTTCCTCTACCTGATTTCAACTTTATATTGATTAAATAAGGCTAAATTACTAGATAGCTCCTCAAACTTGACATGAACCATCAGATAGACACTTCCACTTTCGTAGTGACTATTTAGTATCACATGAACACATTGGTTTGGCATTTACTCTCTCATCCCTCCACAACCTTTTCCTATACCTAGAATTTCTATTTGATTCGGCTGTAGTTTCATAGATTTACATATGAGTCTTCGTTAGATCGCTCATACAATTATGACCAATCAAGTAGAGACCCATTGGCCTACTAGAAAGTTGACATTAGAAGATTGAAAAAAAATAATTGATGTTGACGTGTTCAGTGAACAAATAAAATACTGAGACATGTAAATTTAAAAATTATCACATGTAATTAGAAAAGAAAAATAGGAAAAAAAATATAACAAATTAAATATTTTCTTCCCCTCCTTCCCCTTCCCCTCTTCCCCCACCCCTTACTGTTCTTCTTTTCCACGGAGGTAGATTCAGGATTGGGCTTTTAACACATTTGATTGGTGAGTCAAAAATAATTACAAACACTTTCTATATCTATACCTGTTAATCGGACCGGGCTGACCCGTTTACAACCCGGGTCAGCC